TAAAGTAATCTTGGTTGTAGGTTCTTGGTATTCATCACTTTGAATATTTCTTGCCACTCCCTTCTGGCCTGCAAAGTTTCTGTTGAGAAATCAGCTGACAGTCGTATGGGTACTCCCTTGTAGGTAACTGAGTTTCTTTCTCTTGCTGCTTTTAAGATTCTCTCTTTGTCTTTTGCTCTTGGCATTTTAATTATGATGTGTCTTGGTGTGGTCCTCTTTGGATTCCTTTTGTTTGGGGTTCTCCGCGCTTCTTGGACCTGTAAGTCCATTTCTTTCACCAGGTGGGGGAAGTTTTCTGTCATTATTTCTTCAAATAGGTTTTCAATATCTTGCTCTCTCTCATCTTCTGGCACCCCTATAATTCTGATGTTGGTACGCTTGAAGCTGTCCCAGAGGCTCCTTACACTATCCTCGCATTTTTGGATTCTTTTTTCATTTTGCTTTTCCGGTTGGGTGTTTTTTGCTTCCTCGCATTTCAAATCATTGACTTGATTCTTGCGCTCCTCTGGTCTGCTGTCGGGAGTCTGTATAATATTCGTTATTTCAGTCCTGTGTATGCTTAATTTCTAGTTGGTTCCCCAATATAAGATCGAGGGTCTCATTAGTTTTCTTGTAGATCTCATTAAGTTTATCGGCGGCTTCTAAACAGTTCTTGAGAGACCTTAAAAGTGTGGTTCTGAACTCTATATCTTCCATTGACAATTTTGTCCTGTTTCTTTGTCTCCGAATTTTGTTATGCTTCCTTGGTGCACCCCCTAGTGGTCTTTGTTCGAAGTCTTATAGTTAAATCTTGATTGTTGTAGCTAATTCCAGGGAGGGTTTGACCTCCAGGCCAAGTGGCTATGAGAATCAGCTGTGTCAGCAGTGAGAGAACTTCTGTCCTCTAGGGAGGTGCTAATCTAGCCTTTGCCTGAGGCTATCCAGCAAATGCCTCTGTGCAGGGCTTGGGCGGGGCGGGTCGAACAGGATCAACAGGGTGGGCCAGAGAGAGCAGTTATGGCGGCTCTCAGTCCCGTCCCCAGGGGCTCTGCCTCTCTGAGTCCCAGCACCCGCTGCAAAGCTCGGAGAGAAAGCTGCACTCGCTCTGACTGAAGCCAGACAGTCCCGCTTCTCCCGTTTGAGTCTGGGTCCCTAAAGACTCGCCTGTATCTGGAGCTCAGAGTCTGCGACTCCCTCCCGATTGAAAACGCCAACCGCGCCCTCCGCCGCCAGCCCGCTCCTCGCACTCCGCACCTCAGAATTTGACTTCAGCACTGCGCCTCCTCTGAGTGTCCGTATGCGTTTCTCTTTCCTCCTAGTTGTAGGACTTCCACTCAGCCAGCGTTCCTGTGGTTCTGGGTGATGTCCCTTCCGTCTTTTGGTTTCACTTTTGAAGTAGTTGTTCAAAGCAGCAAACTCCGGCGTTAACCTATGCCGCCATCTTGGTTCTCCCTCCACACCTTGATATTTTTAAAAACATTGTCTCTATGTATACAAACACACTCTAACATGGAATTAATTCCTGTTTAATGAAAGATTGCTTCTGAAAACTTCTCTAACAAGAGAATACTAGGAAGGGTAAATCAATTTTCATTTGATCTCCAATGTCATTTTGTAAACCACTTTATAATCCCCATTCCTGATCGAGGTTAAGAACCACTTCCTGTTCATCTTAGCATATATTAGTATATGCTTACAGACCTTTGTTAAAGAAATGAATAAATATTTGTCTAAGATTTCCAAGGGCACCAATAATAGGAGTCCCCATTCCCTTTTAAATATCCAATGAGGTAGATAAAATATATCACAAAATCTGGTTCTTGGTTGCTGGTTGCCATAGTTGACCTTCTTAACTCTTTGATATTCAAGGTCCTCAACCCAAACCCAATTTTACTACAAACTAAAGAGGACTGATGAAAACAGATATAAGAATTAAAAAGGTGGAAAAATGAAAGGAACATAATCCAGTGATAAAATGAGTGCTGTCTTAAATTTATCTTTGTAATAAAGTGCAAATTAGAAAAACACTTTAAATGCTATTATTCATGAAATTTCTCTTTTAACTGCTTTTCCAGGGTCACCTTGGATTTCTGTGGAGAAGTGAATAAGTCACTTATTATGTTTATTTTACCTCTTTTTCATCTGACAGTAAATGCAATTGTTTTGGAAGTATAGACAAAAATATCCAGATAGTATGTTTATTTTATTTTATTTACTCTTTATTATAGGAGTTCTTTTCATTATTGATATTCATAAACAATTGCAAGATTCTACTGAGAATTTTAAATCCACTTTTAATTCCATTTTGGCGAAGTTCACATATAGATCCAAGACTGGGATTAAAGCTACAGATCCTCTTCCTGGACAAATACATAAGCTCAGACACATAAAATTTACATACCAATGAGGTTTATAAATTTTCTGAACCCCCTCCTTAGATGATTCCCTGGTGATCATGGACCCTTAGGTTAAGATCTTGAACCAGATTGCCTATCTTTGAATTCCAGCATCTCACAGATTGGAGGGTCTTATGATGAAATGATGGTATTGAGTATGCTTTATCAATAATTATATAAATTTATGTGTGAGATAAAATCAAGGAATTTTTCCTGAGAGAGACTTGATGACTCTGGAGTTCCATAATAGTTCCAGAACTCAGTCATTTGGTGATGTCCATGATTATAATAGGGACGAGAACGACAATAGAGAGTACTCGGACTTAAGACTGGATCTTATGTCCCTTTACTTTTCACCTCATTATTTTCTTGTTGAAACTCTTAGCAAGTAAAAGATCCCCCCAGAGGCCTGTTACCACCTTCCTAAACATATCCTTCAAAGCCTCCTTGACTCGCTCATTGCGCAAGGCATAGATAAATGGATTCAGCAACGGTGTCACAAATGTAGTTACCACTGTCACTGCCCAATTAGTATCCACAGAGCCACTCTGTGATGGCCGCACATAGAGAAAAATGGCACTTCCATAGAAGAGGGTCACCACCATCAAGTGAGAGGTACAGGTCGAGAAGGCCTTCTGACGGCCTGAGGCAGAGGGGATGCGCAGGACAGCTAGGACTATGTGGCCATAGGACGCGGCAGTAATCATCAGCGAGGAAACAATAACAAGGGAGGCCAGGATAAAGTCAGTTTCCTCCAGCTTTTTGGTATTGGTGCATGCCAGACGGAGCAGTGGGCCACTGTCACAGAAGAAGTGCTGCACCACAGCATCTTGTTCACAGAAAGGAAGCAAGGCCACAGCGACTGTGGGGCCAAGCACAGGGAGGAGTCCCCCCATCCAGCAGGCCAAGGCCACCCGAAAGCACACAGTACCATTCATGAGCAAGGGGTAGTGCAGAGGGTGACAGATGGCCAGGTAGCGATCCACAGACATGACGGCCAGCAGCAGGAACTCAGAGGCCCCAAGAAAGAAGTAGAAATAGAATTGGGTAATACATGCAGCAAAGGAGATAGTGTGTTGCCTTGAGAGAAAGTTGCTCAGCATCTTGGGAATTATGACAGACGTGAGCAGGATCTCTAGGCAGGACAGGTTACCCAGAAAGAAGTACATGGGAATCTGCAAGCGAGTATCAGCCCCTACCACCCCAACAATCAACACATTGCCTGTTAGAGTCAGCAGATAGACAAGAAGGAAGACAGAAAACAATTCTTCTTTGGTGTTGTTGAGATTTGGGACACCTGCCAGGATGAACTCTGTCACACCACTGCTCTGGTTCCCACCAAGAGCCATGATCTTTCCCACCTGTGCAACAACACGAACTTAATCCTGGTGAGGACAAGTCTTTTCCAGCACAATCCTGAAACGTATTTTATCATGATATGGCATACATATCCCCACTTTCTCCAATCATATCTTCTGTTAAGATTTTTGAAGAACCCTGGCCAATGTTTCTCAGTGGTTAGAGCAGTGGCCAATGTACTGGTTGCAGGTTCGATTCCTGGTCAAGGGCATGGACCTGGATTGCAGGTTTGATCCAACAAGGGCTGCATGAGAGAGGAGGAAGGCAACCAATCGATGTGAGATGTTTCTTTCTTTCTCTCTCTCTCCCATTCCCTCTGTCCCTTCCATTCCCTCTAAAAATCAAAGGAAAAATATCCTCCAGTGAGAATTAAGAAACAAACAAACAAAAAAAAATGAAGAATCTGAGGTCCTTATCTAATTTATTTTAGAGCTGGCAAAGGTTTCCCATAAAGGATAGTTCACACTTAGGTATGAAAATCCCAAGAGCCTCCAGCTTCACATCTCCTATTGTCAAATTTTAAATGGTGATCCTTCAATATTATAATAATGTCATTGAGCATTTGAGTTGAGCAAAAATATCAGATAAATGATTTTGTGAAGAATATGATTCCCATTTAACCAGCATCTGAAAGTGAACCAAATTGCCTAGCTTTGAATTCCAGCATTTCTACTTACTAGCCAAGTAGCCTTGACAAAGTTGTAAGGAACAAGTGAAGTAATAGTACAAAAGGCTTAAAAGAGTTTCATTAGAGAAAGCCCTGGACTGCAAGTTAGGGCACCAGACTCTCCGCTTGACTTGCCACTTTCCTTGTAAGACTATCAGTGCATCCAACGCATTTGTCCTTCAACTGCTCAGCTATAGAATAAGTAATAGAAACCTAGGCCTGTTATATGAATTTATATAATCTGTTATATGAAATCTGTTATATGAAATTACCCTTTTCATGGAGAATTACCCCAGAAACCCAAGGGTCTTCAGCTTCTCACAGAGTGCTTACCTATGTAAAGCAAGTTATGCCACATTTAAAAGGAATGAGAGGGATAAACTACAATGATTCAGTCAGGTATCCACATCTATTTATTTAGTGTCAACTTCAAGCTAAGTATTCTGGGAAATATTAAGATGAGTTTCTCAGGCTTTTCAGCCCATGATACTAATCCAAAGCCCTTTCACAAACATGGCTCTATTAGATAAACTTGCCAGAGACAATTATGAATCCCTGGTAATTATTAACAAATTCAGAAATGAAGTCCTTACTATTCGATTTGAGTCCTTCTGGTTCTGAAGTCCACAAGTTATAATGTCACTGGAAAAGGACGGGACCCGGAGTGGGTCTGTCTCAGGCTGACCAGCAGTGTGTGAGTTCTTGACTTCACGCAGGAAAGATTTCACAACAGAAGTGCAAGTGATTTCGAGCGCACATTTATTAAAGCTGAGGACAGTGAAACAGAGGAAAGGCTTAGGATAGAAGAAGCAACAACAAGAGAGAGCCTAGGCAGTGTTCTGTTCTGGGCCTCTAGAAACGTTTTGGAAAAGAAGTGAGCCACACTGGGCTGTTTGGACTCACTGAGAAGTAAAAATCAGTGGCAGAAGTGAGCCAAGGTGGGGCTGCTGTTAGCACTCCGAAAAGTCAGAGAAAAGGGGACCTTGGAGACAGGTTCAGGGGTTAGCCTGGGACGAGCTGCTGCTGCCCGCTTCTGCCCTACTTGCAAGTCAGAGCCCTAGAGCTTAGGACAGTGGTTCTCAACCTTGGCTGCACATTAGAATCACCTGGGGATCTTTTTAAAATCCTGATTTCCGGGCCTCGTCTTCCGGACATTCTGTTTCTTTGCTACTAATGTTGTGGCCCCACCCCATAACAAAGAAACAGAATTTCCAGAGGATGAGGCCCGGAAATCAGGATTTTAAAAAGATCCCCAGGTGATTCTAATGTGCAGCCAAGGTGGAGAACCACTGGCTTAGGAAAAAGAGAGAAGATGTACACCTGAGAAAGGAAGAGGGAAGAAAGGTGTGGGCATGCTCCAGGGAGGGCTTGCCCAGGCATCCTTTGTCTTGAGGGTTTTGACCTCTGTTCCGTGGGCAGGAATCTTAGGGAAGGTCTCATGGGAGGGTCTCAACAGAATATTTGTCAGCGTCCCAGGTGTGTTCTTTAATATGTTGATGTATCAAAATGAGCGGAAAAGGGGACCAGGGTCATTTTACGGTCAGCTTTACCACTACCTTGGATTTGTTTGACTCTGATAGTTTTGTTTGTTTGTTTGTTTATATTCCCCTGATTCATCCCTTTGTGGACTTGGCTGGCACCAATTGGGCCTCTGTTATCCGGCTCCCTGACCGGGGTGATTCAGGCTATTTACTCTCTAGTTAGGGAGGAAGGTGTAAACCATTTGCTCTCAAATGTCCTTGCTTAGGGAAGATGAGATCCTGTTATTTACTAGCTGGCTGTAAATTGCTCAAATTATTTGGCCACATTTGTCTAACCATCTGCCTCAGTTTCCTTTTTCCCACTTGTCAAAAATTCTCCTAACATCTAACTATCCTGCCTTAATAAGAACCAAATAAATGATATCTGGAACTTAGTTTTAAAAATGCCTCAGTTATTAGGCAAATACTGATCCCTTCAGCCATGCAAAGCATTAGAATTTAGCCTAGGCCTTGGTTCTTTGTCAGCCTTGTTTCTTTAGTACACCCCAGCAGTCTTTGTCCCAGCAAACATTAGGTCCTTTACTTGCAATTTCTCACCTGTGGGTCCCACCTGAGTAGGAAAATGTTTGTGCCTTTTGTCTAAGATAAGTACCTTTATAATCTTTTTCCCTAGGGACTCCATTCAGAGCTTCATCTCCCTCCAGCTTCTAAAGAATACAACTTACTGTCAGTAAAATAATTTCATTTTTGTTCTATGTTGACTATGTATCAGATGCTATATTTGGTGATTCAGAGATAAAGGAGACATTGTTGCTACTCTCATATAGTTCACTGCCTGAGAATGACACACGCAAAAAAATTAGCATGTGTCTCAGGTGGAATATCACAGGTAAGCACAGGATCTAAGGGGACACATAGAAAAGGAACCAAACTGATAGGAAGTATTCTGGAGAAAGGTTATGCCTAAACTTAATACTAAAAAATGAGTATGGATAGTTTCCTTTGCTAAAAAGCTTTTGCACAGCAAAGGAAACCATAACAAAATGAAAAGATAACCTGGTGAGTAGGAGAACATATTCATCCATGATATACCTGATAGGGCATTAATATCCAAACTTTATAAAGAACTTATAAAACTCAACAACAAAAACACAAACAATCCAATTAAAAAATGGACAAGTGACCTGAATATATACTTTTCCAAAGAGGACATACAGATGGCCAATAGATATGTAAAAAGATGCTCAACATCACTAATCATCAGAGAGATGCAAATTAAAATCACAATGAGCTATCACCTCACACCTGTCAGAATGGCTATCATCAATAAATCAACAAACAACAAGTGTTGGTGTGGACGTGGAGAAAAGGGAACTGTAGTGCACTGTTGGTGGGAATGCAGACTGGTGCAGCCATTGTGGAAAGCAGTATGGAGTTATGTCGAAAAATTTAAAGTGGAACTGCCTCATGGTAATATATCTAAAGAAACCAAAACCACTAACTTGAAAGAATATATGCACCCCTATGTTCATTGCAGTGTTACTTACAATAGCCAAGATCTGGAAGTAGCCCAAGTGCCTGTCAGTAGGTGAGTGGATAAGAAAGCTGTGGTACATTTAAACAATGGGATATTACTTGGCCACCAAAAAGAAGGAAATCTTACCTTTTGTGACAGCCTGGATAGACCTGGAGAGCATTATGCTAAGCATGATAAGTGAAATAAGCCAGTCAAAGAAAGACAAGCACCATATGATTTCACTTATCTGTGGAGTACAATGAACAAAATAAGCTAACAAACAAAACAGAAACAGATTCATAGATACAGAGAACAGGCTGACAGCTGTCAGAGGGGAGGGGTTTGGAGGGCTGGGTGTAAAAGGTGATGGGATTAATAAAAAACAAAAAAGAAAGAAAGAAAAGAAAAAGAAAACTCATCGACAAACAACGGTCTGGTGATTTCCGGAGGGAAATGTGGGTGGCGAAGAAATAGAAGAGGGTACAGGGGGTTAGGCAGTGATGGAAGGAGACTTGACTTGGAGTGGTGAAGGAACACTGCAATATGCAGATGACGTATTATAGAATTGTACACCTGACACCTATATAATTTTAGAAACAAATGTCACCCCAATAAGTTCAATTAAAAGGGGGAAGCAACTCAGATTAGCCCCAACAGAACAATAAACCCTATTTGCAAGGGAAATTTGTATTATATTAGAAAATGGGTAAAGTTTCAAGATACTCCCAAGGCTGCAGTACAGACCATCAATTTTTAAAAAACAGCCCAGAAAACAAGCTGCTATGTGCAGGAAAAAATGTAATATAACAATATCTTGCAGTTTGCAACATTGCTAAAGCCCTAGCTCTTGGGAAAGCTGGAAAAATAGACAATAGATGACAGAAACAAGTTAGAAACAAAGAATACTCTTCTTACAAAGAGTAAGAAGCAACATAGCTCAAATACTAAGTTGGACTAGCTGTAGGACTTGAAAAGATTTAACCTTCCTATCTTTAGTCATTGCATTGTAACTAATAAATCATATGTTACATTAAAATGAGTATGGATTTGATAGAAGAGAGGGTTTTTAATGGAAAAGAGCAGCATGTGAACATATTACATTTAGGCAGAAGCCAGAATATAAGAGGCAGAGTGGAATGAGAGAGGACCGGTCACCTCAGAGAGTACCCTTTCTAACTCTGTTGCTCTCTGTGAAAACATTTCCATAAGTGAGAGGAAGATAGTCCCAACCCTAAATATGGAAGGAATTCCTACTAGTTACCCCTGAATGATCTTGCTGTTTCCATGAGGATGGAGGTCAACCTACAAGAATACTCCTTCCCTTTCTATTACTCAATGTCCTTTTCCATCTGGCATCCTTCCCATACCCTGTACTGTGAGACTGACAATAGCCCGATATCCTAGGAGTTCCTGGGCATTGGCAAAGCACTCTGGGAAATGGGCCAATGTTGGATAATCTCCTCTTGCGCTTTCGTCCTGGGTATAATGCCTGAGATATTTTCCTTCTGCCTTGTAAACAAAGGGGCCTTTTGATTCTAAGGAGGCTGCATCATGCTGCCCTTTTTCTGGTCAGCTATCGGGGCCCACCCTTCTCTCTGTAGAAAGAGTGCCTTCTGCAATGTGATCTTGACTTTAGGCTCTAACAGGCATGCTTTGAGGGCAGGACGGTGACCTCACAATCCTCCAAGGTATGCCACTGTCATAACAACATGGGGCTGGAAGGCAAGGGGTGGATATGGAGGAGTTAAAACATTCATCCATCTATTTTAAAAAATGCACTTACCTACAGTTCCTTCTGTCTCTATTGGTTGAAAAATGTTCCATTTAAAGCCAGGTCTTCACTTTTTTGCTGACGAGTTTTATACACAAACTGTCAATTTTCCTGTTTTAGATCCCGATCCTGGCATTAGCCTGAGTGCATGGAAGAAGAAGGCTGAATAAATCATTTGCCTTTAACCAATCTCTTAATTGAAGGGCACAAGGTATAATCTTAGTTTCCAGTGGAGATGCTCCAATATGTGGATTGGTTGATCTAGCCATCAGGAGTCCAGCTAGCAGCAGCACCTGCTAGGGAAAATGGTGAGGAAATAAAACTATAAGAGAGTAAGAAAAACAAGGAGAGAAAATAATACTTAAAACACCCAGGGCAGCTTTGCAATTCAAAGTAAATTCCCCAGATTCCAGGCCTGATCATTTGAAAAGGAGGCTGACCCTTCATTCAACAAAGGATGACTAGGAATGTTTCAACTGTCTTCATTTGTCAACTACCCCACGCCAGGCTCCTGTAAAAAAATTACTGGGGCAATAAAGTGTGGAATGGAGTTTGACCAGGTGTGGAAGGCCACAGTAAGCACCCAACTTTCTCCTGCATGGCACTCAAAGGAAATGTTTATATTCCAAGTAACACAGACATGGTGTCTTCTCCCTGAAGACTTAAAATGATGTGGGGAATTCCTTCCCTGCCTTCTAGGTTGGAAAGTAATCGGAGTCCCAAGAGAGTGATAAGATAGGGGAAGATTCTCTGCATCATCTCTGGTTTCTTCTGCTTCTAGTAATAGTATATACCGTACACACACACCCAAAACTTAGCTTAGAATTATGAACCATTATTCACATTTTTCCATTTGTGTTCACTATATACCCCCTGACTAAAAACTTGACTAGATTCTATTCAAACTCAATTTACTCTGGCGCATATGAGTTCTTTTGAATAGCTTCCTCTGCCCACTTTGCAACCTGAACTATGGCATGTTCTGCTGACCTCAGTCTCAACACTTAACCCACTGTATTATAACTCTGCATTTTCATCTGTGTCCTTTGCCAGACTCTGAACTCCTGGAGCAGGAACTATATTCTGATCACTGTATTTCCAGCACAAAGCACAGTGTCTGGCACACAGTAGGTGTTTAATAAATTACTAGTATATGCACTAAAATGCTCTGAACCCTAGACTTAAGGAACAGTTGCTCTCGTGAGAGAAATACCAGTTGTCATGAGCTGAGAGGAAGAGTACACAGGTCCCCTTGGAACTCAGTTTGGCTGAATTCCATCTTTTCTAGACATACTCCTTTTTAAGAAAACAAAACACCTAAATGGAAGCAAGGATGAGGCATGAGAAGTGTCATTACTTTAGGTTCTGGGGAAGGAGTGGGAGCAAAGACTGGTAGAATTGGCTGAGCTAAGATGAAATAAATTAAACTAGAAATTAAACTAGAAGCTCTTAGTTGTTGAGCTGTGGACAGAAGAGTTTTAAGCAGAAAGAGAGGGCATGAAGTCTAGGATCTAGTAAATCTCACATGTTTTTATTTTACTTTTTAAAAATATGTTTTTATTGATTTTAGAGAGAGAGGAAGGGAAAGGAACACCAATTAGCTTCCTTGAGCCTGTAACCCAGGCATGTGTCCTGACCAGGAATTGAACTGACAACCTTTTGGTGCATGGAACATTGCTCAATCAACTGAGCCACACCAGCCAGGGCAAAGCATACATGTTTTTAAACTTTAAAGCAAAATGCAACAAAAGCAGTGCTAAGAGGGAAGTTCATAAAGATTAATACCTATCTCAATAAACAAAAATATCTCAAATAAACAACCTAAAGGGTGTCCCAAAATTCATGCAAGAAGTAGTTTTGATAGAAAACACAAGTTTACAATTAAAAAATTGTAAATTTTTTATTGATTCATAAAGTATACAATATAAGGTTATGTATGGAATAGCATATCAGGTAAACTGGATAGTCAGGTCACGATAGCGAGCACCATGAACTGTTATTGCCTGAGCAGCCACATTTTTGAAGAAGAATGGTCCGATGATGCCTCCAGCCCCAAATCCGCACCAAACAGTGACACGTTGTAGATGCATTTGTTTCTCAACAATCACTCGTGGATTTTCTGAACCCCAAATGTGAAAATTTTATCGATGAACCAAGCCATCAAGATGAAAATGAGCCTCATTGCTGAAGATGATTTTGTTTGAAAAATCAGCATCCACTTGTTCCATGATCCATTCAACGAACTCTATTCGCTGTGCGTGGTCAGTAGGCTTCAGTTCTTGAGTCAATTGAACTTTGTAAGCATGAAGATGCAAATCTTTCATGAGAATACGCTGTAGAGAGCTTTTCGAAATGTCCAATTCTTGACCGCGGTGCCGAATTGATGTCCCTGGACTCTCAGCAACACTCTCCCGAACTGCTTCGATGTTTTGTGTTGAACGGCTTGTTGAAGGGCGGCCAGAGTGTTTAAGATCACTAATTGATCCAGTCTCCCTAAATTTTTTAATTAATCTCTTCACAGCTGATGAAGTTAAATCACTATTCCGACCATATTTTGCACGAAAATCGCAAACCGTAGCTGCCAAACCTTCATTATTTTTAAAATATTGCTCAACAATGAAAACACGTTGTTCTTTCATGTAGTGCTCCTTTTTTTTTCAGTTGTGTGAAACCCTACACTGAGAGCATATAAATATCCTGTTACGTAATGAAATCTTGTAGCTTAGTAGAATTTTAACAGTGTTTAAAGATGAATTGTGGTAGGATAGCAATTTCCAGAAAATATTGTCAGAATTCGCTGTGTGATTAGAAAATGAAGATGGCTGCAGAAAGAGAGCCTACTTAGCAGATATTTTTTATCCCATGAATCAGTTGAAAAACTCTGAAAGCTCTAGAGAAAATATTTTTATTTCATAATAAACTTTTTATTTCATAATATTTTTATTTCATAATAATTTTGAATTTAAAAAGAAACTGAATTTTTGGAAAAATTGTGTTGTAAAGAAATCTTGAAATGTTTCCACCTCTGCTGGGACTTGAGATTGAGTAAGAATATCATCATTTATTGAAAACCATCTGGATGAGCTGCAGAAAAAATTAAATGATTTTTCTTCTCTTTGTAATCAAGAGTTTGGATGAGGGACACTTTCTTGGAATTTTCTGTTCAGTCTGAGAACTTCAAGTTGATGCACTGTCTGATTATACACACAAACTGAGATTTACTGCTCAGCCACTAGGAAAGCTCTGGATTTTTCCTATTTAGAGGAAACTCATGAATATTTTATTTTACTTCTCAATTTCTTACATGTGTGAGCAAGCTTATTCAACTTTAACAAGGATAAATAGCAAGGACAAAAACCATCTCATTTCAGTTGAAAATGAGATTTATATATGCTTAACTGAAGTTGGATTCATAATTGTACCTATGCAGCAAACTCAAGTATAGGTTTCTTTTTAAAAAATATATTTTATTGATTTTTTACAGAGAGGAAGGGAGAGAGATAGAGAGTTAGAAACATCAATGAGAGAGAAACATCAATCAGCTGCCTCCTGCACCCGCCCCCCCCCCCACCCCCACTGGGGATGTGCCCGCAACCAAGGTACATGCCCTTGACCAGAATTGAACCTGGGACCTTTCAGTCCGCAGACCGACCCTCTATCCACTGAGCAAAACTGGTTTCGGCTCAAGTATAGGTTTCACATTAAAATGTAAATTTCATTTCTTTATTTTTAATTTTAAAACTTACAAGTTGCAAAAACTAGCACCTATATAGTAATTGTGTATTTGTGAGAGCTGTATTTTAACCTGATCATGTCATTCAGTAAGAATTTTTTTCAAAGTAAACAAAATTGTGTCAGTTAAAAATGTATGAGTTAAGGGCTATAAAGTAGGTACCCTCTGTTTGTATTTAAATTAGCATATTTCCCTGTTGTTTTTAATTCAATTCTATCTGCTATTTTATGGCCCTCAAATTTTTTTTAGCTAAATATTTGGTAATGACACTCTGTTTTGTTTTCCTATGTTGTGAGTATATACTTACCCTTCTGTGTGTTTGTAGTATATGTTTCTACATTGCCCCAACTCCTTTTGGATCAGAAAGCAGGTGGTTGCTGAGAGGGCTGAATTCCTCTTGGAGTTGGTAGTTCATTACAGTTTTACTTTCCTGGCCTTGAGTAGCCCATCTGGTATTTGACATTCCCCAGTGGCTGGATAGTTAATTTTGTGGAATTAGAGTTGCCATCTTTAGGGAAGAATTCTCTTCATTAAATTGTGCTGAAGCAATTGTGTATTCCTAAAAATAGATACCTAATTGTCACTACATATTTCTGAGGCTTTTGCATTATGAAAAATTTCAAATATACTGAAAATAGAATAGTATAATGAATTGCCAATTCATACCCCCACTCACTTTATTTTGAATCAAATTTCAGATATCACCCCATTTTCTATAATTTATTATACTTTCAAATTGATCATTAAATATTTGATGTGATTTTTACCACAATAGGATTTTTTCTTTCTTTTATTTATTTATTTTTATTTTTGAATATTTTAATTTTTTTAAATTAAATCTTTATTATTCAGATTATTACATTTGTTCCTCTTTTCCCCCCCATAACTCCCCTAATCTAATCCTCCCAGTTCCCACCCCACTCTCCACCCTCACTCCCCACCCACTGTCCTCATCCATAGGTGCACAATTTTTGTCCAGTCTCTTCCCGCATCTCCCACACCCTTTCCCCCCCCCCCCCCCAAGAATAGTCAGTCCATTCCCTTTCTATGTCCCTGATTCTATTATGATCACCAGATTATTTATTCACTTGATTCTTAGATTCACTTGTTGATAGATGCATGTTTGTTGTTCAAAATTTGTATCTTTACCTTTTTCTTCTTCTTCCTCTTCTTAAAGGATACCTTTCAGCATTTCATATAATCCTGGTTTGGTGGTGATGAACTCCTTTAGCTTTTCCTTATCTGTGAAGCTCTTTATCTGACTTTCAGTTCTGAATGATAGCTTTGCTGGATAAAGTAATCTTGGTTGTAGGCTCTTGGTATTCATCACTTTGAATATTTCTTGCCACTCCCTCCTGGCCTGCAAAGTTTCTGTTGAGAAATCAGCTGACAGTCGTATGGGTATTCTCTTGTAGGTAACTGGGTTTCTTTCTCTTGCTGCTTTTAGGATTCTCTCTTTGTCTTTTGCTCTTGGCATTTTAATTATGATGTGTCTTGGTGTGGTCCTCTTTGGATTCCTTTTGTTTGGGGTTCTCTGCGCTTTCTGGACTTATAAGTCTATTTCTTTCACCAGGTGGGGGAAGTTTTCTATCATTATTTCTTCAAATAGGTTTTCAATATCTTGCTCTCTCTCATCTTCTGGCACCCCTATAATTCTGATGTTGGTATGCTTGAAGCTGTCCCAGAGGCTCCTTACACTATCTTCGTATTTTCGGATTCTTTTTTCATTTTGCTTTTCCAGTTGGGTGTTTTTTGCTTCTTCGCATTTCGAATCTTTGACTTGATTCTTGCTCTCCTCTGGTCTGCTGTTGGGTGTCTGTATAATATTCTTTATTTCAGTCAGTGTATGCTTAATTTCTAGTTGGTTCTTTATCACAACATCGAGGGTCTCATTAGATTTCTTGAGGATCTCACTACATTTATCGGCGGTCTCACCAGTCTTTTCAAGGGCCTTACTAAGTTTATCGGCAGCTTCTAGACAGTTCTTGAGAGACCTTAAAAGTGTGGTTTTGAGCTCTATATCTTCCATTTCTGACATTTGCGTCCTGTTTCTTTGTCTCCGAATTTTTTTTATCTTTTCTTGGTGCACCCCCAGTGGTCCTTGTGGGCAGTCTTGTTGTAGTTAAGCCTTGATTGTCGGCAATACCAGGGGTGATTTGACCTCCAGGCTAACTGGCTATGAGAATCAGCTGTGTCTGCAGTGGGAGAGCTTCTGTGATGGATCTCTAGGGCGGTGCTAATCTAGCATTTTCCTGAGGCTATCTGGCAAATGGCTCTGCACAGGGCTTGGGCGGGGCAGATCCCCGGGGATCTACAGGGTGGGCCGGAGCGAGCAGTTATGGCTGCTCTCAGTTCCATCCCTAGGGGCTCTGCCTCTCAGAGTCCCAGCAACCACTGCAAACCTCGGAGAGAAAGCTGCCTTCGAGTTCCGACCGAAGCCAGACAGTCCCGCTTCTCCCATTTGAGTCTGGGTCCCCAGAGACTCGCCGGGATCTGGAGCTCAGAGTCTGAAACTCCCTCCCGATTGAAAACAACAGTCGCGCCCTCGCTGCCAGCCTGCTCTGCGCGCACTCCGCACCTGAGTATTTCACTTCAGCACTGCGCCTCCTCTGAGTCTGGGTATGATATTCTCTTTCCTCCTAGTTGTAGAATTTCCACTCAGCCAGCCTTCCTGTGGTTCTGGATGATGTCCGTTCTGTCCTTTAGCTATATCTCTGAAGTGGTTGTTCGAGGCAGCAATCTCCGGCGTTAACCTATGCCGCCATCTTGGTTTTCCCAGTTTGTACTTCCCACAATAGGATTTTTGTTGATGGGGAATACTGATGTTAAAGAGATATCAAACAATTATTTTTTTTTTTTAAAAAAATATATTTTATTGATTTTTTACAGAGAGGAAGGGAGAGAGATAGAGAGAGTTAGAAACATCTATGAGAGAGAAACATCGATCAGCTGCCTCCCGCACATCCCCCACTGGGGATATGCCCGCAACCCAGGTACATGCCCTTGACCGGAATCGAACCTGGGACCCTTCAGTCCGCAGGCCAACGCTCTATCCACTGAGCCAAACCGGTTTCAGCAATTTTTTTTTTAAATATATTTTATTGCTTTTTTACAGAGAGGAAGGGAGAAGGATAGAGAGTTAGAAACATCAATGAGGGAGAAACATCGATCAGCTGCCTCCTGCACACCTCCTACTGGGGATGTGCCTGCAACCAAGGTATATGCCCTTGACCGGAATCTAACCTGGGACCTTTTAGTCCGCAGGCCGACGCTCTATCCACTGAGCCAAACCAGTTAGGGCATCAAACAATTATTAAAGGTAAAATATAATTCAAGAATGTTACAATCCATTCATTCAATGGATTTGTCAAGCTAGTAGTCTCCTTATTTTAAATGTTTTTCTTCTGCTGTCTATTTACAGACAGGGAAAGTTTTCCAGGGTATCCTGAATGGAAGACACAAGGTGCAGAATAGCATAAAAAAAGTCACAGGTAAATAACATTTATTTGACATTTGTTAATATATACACAAAAGTCACAGGAAAGATGCATAATAAAATAATGAAAAAGTTAATTAGGCAAGGGGATGTGGTTGGGGGATAAGGACTTTTTAATCTATGACTTGTTCTGAGCTATGCATGTTTTATACTTTAAAAAGAAATAAAATATTTTTTTCTAACATGCTCTATTTCATGCCCAAGTTAGGGTATTCCTATTTGAATGTATTATAAGTTGCATACCAAAACAATTGTCAGTTGGACAAATTGCTATGTAATTTTTACAAATCACCTGACTTTGATATCATCTCTTTCGTGCCCACAGCTACTGAGGGGATAGGGCTCCTCTCTGGGAGACCCTGAGATTTATGTTCCAACGAAAGGTCCCGAAAGCTTCTGGGCAGCAGGGACCGATCAAACCTGAAAGTCGCGGGGAACTGGGAGAGGAAGACTGCGGAGTGCGCTCTGGGCCAGGAGGAGGGAGCCAGTATTGATCGGTGCAAAGGAGAACTAGGGGACAAGACTTTCTTGGTTCTTTAACGCATGGCCCACACCTTCTGAGACTCCAAGACTCTTCTCCCAGCTTCAGAACCGAAAGGTATGAAGCTCAAGACGTCGCAAAGAAACTTAAGTCGCAGCGAGGTGGCATCGGGGAAAGACAGCTTTGTTCTTCTTTATGGCACCACCATTCCCAACTCCAGGCGTCTAACTCGGATTTCACTGGTCCGCTCCTTGAAGAAATAAACGTAGGGCGCTTAGTGGGCGCCGGACAGAAGCTGAGGCGACCCCTGCCTTCTGGAAGCTGTTCCGTTCTACCTCCCAAGAGCTTTGCCTCAGGGGAGTTTAGTTTGTTGTTGAAGATCTTTCCTGGAGTGAGAGGCGATTTTCAGGGTGGCTGCATGCAGGTTGAGACCTAGTGGAGCACAGGAGGGAGGGAATAACTTACTGTCCTTTGTTGATATTTCGAGTCAGGATTTGGAAAGGGCAGGGGGTGTCCAGAGGACAATGCTTAAAAAGGGGGCGGGAAGATACAGCTAGTAATTATAACCTAACTTTTCCTGTCAGTTTGGTACTGTGGCTGAGAGGTGTCAGATGCAGGATGTAAGCCCCAATTCCTTTGGATGTGAGGGTCAAATCCCTGCACTGCTAGAGTTTTGTTCCATGCAGATGCCCTCACTCCAGATATACGTTCTGTAAATCCATGCAGGGGGTACCTTACTACCTGAATTTTCTGAACACTGAGCTCTGGACTGGGGGAATGAGATCAGTGAATGAATGATTCACAGCTTCTGGCCAGGGAGTTCACAGGTAAGTCTGATAACTCAGACTATCAGAAGACCCACTCCTCCTGATGTCTGTTTGGAAGGGATTTCATAAGGTCTTGCCGAAGGGGTGACATTTAAACTGGGGCGCTCAGTGTTGACATATGAACCAGGAGTTCAGGGTTCAATTCCTGGTCAAGGCACATGCCAGGGTTGTGGGCTCCATCCCTAGTGTGGGACGTGCAGGAATCAGTGGATCAATGATTCTCATCATTGATGTTTCTATTTCTCTTTCCCTCTCCCTTCCTCTCTGAAATCAATTTAAAAAATATTTTAAAAAATATTTAATTAACTGGGGTGCTCAAGTTGAGAGAGGAGAGGTAGAGAGTCTTGGAGCCTTAAAATGCAGGGTGTGTCCTGTAAAGTGGGGCACTGGAGAGGAGCAAGGAGTGAAGTGAGCCTTTGTCTCATCATTTGCTCCTAAGTGTTAACTCAGAAAAATTGAGGCATCCACTCACATAACCTAAGAAAAAATTTGGGCAGTTGCACACAGCACGGACAATGTCCCTATGGTCCCTGCTGCTGACTGTCTCACAGGCCCTCACTGCATTGCTCACAGGATGTTCTCTATTTCTCCACCTGCCGCTGGACTCCCTGCTACAAGGGCACCACTCCCTTCTTCATTCCTCTCTCTCTTTTCGTCTTTCCTTCTGGAGCCACCATTAGGAGAATAAAGGAGATCGATCGCTAATCATCCAAGGAAGCAACTGCTCACCAGCTCAGGGAAGTGACTCAACTTCCAGACTTGAGCCAGCCAAGGAAGGCCATTCTGAACACCACCCAGCCCACAGAGTTCTAGGATGGGTTCCAAGTCAGAATTTGAACTCTTGAAGGAACATTCTCACTTTCTGATTTGAGGGTAATGCCTTTCCTGCCCCTCAGACATGGTACCCAGAAGCTTCATTGGGCTCCACTACACCCAGATTTGCACCTTCCTCAAGGCCTTGTGAAGGAGTCACTGGTTAATTTTATTAGGTGGTGCTTTTAATAGGTGGTTAATTTTAATGGAACCTGATTGCCCCATGGCCTAAAAAGGTAAGAGAAAGCCTGTAATCAAGGGGTCTTAGTGGCACTGACCCTCATTCTCCCAGGGGGAGGGGTGTAGTTCTCCCAGTCAGGAGTGGTGACACAGTCATTCAAGGTCTCTCAGGTGTGGCTTGCTGAGCCACTGTGGGTGGGTGAGCCATCTTGCAGTGGCCGGCACATACCAGGTGTGATCTGAAACATTTATAAAGGATGTGGAGCCAGAATAAGGGGTCCTATTGGGACACCACTGTTCCTGTCCCCTCTCCATTTGTCTCCAGTGCCATTCCAGGAAGCCACAGAACCATGGGCTACTTCAGGAAGCATCCATCTCTGCCCAAGGAATCCAGGCGGTTGGGCAGAGGAGGAGAGACAAGCCCCCAACTGCCACAAAAGCTAGGAACCTATGGGTGTGGTCTTCCTGCTTGGCCCAATATTTTTTCTCCATCACTTCCCAGTAAGCCTCACTGTGCCTGAAAAGTGAGCCTAGGTCACAATGTGCAGCAGGGCAGGGTGGGAGGCAGTGGGGGCACTTTAGAACCAGAGAAAGAGGGGAGCTAGGCTCTTAGATGCAGCGTTTTCTGGGGAGCCTACTTCTTTCCCCGTGGTGCCTGCCTGATGCCCATTTGGTTGGTTCTTCCCCTTGCCTTTTCTCTGCAAGGTCTCCATGATGGGACATACACACCCATTTATCCAATGCCACCCTCCCCTCCCCTTCTTAACTGCTTTCTGGCCACCGATGCTGGCTGCCGGCCGCCATCCTCCCTCTGTGAAAAGGGGCACAGGAAGGGGAAATGAGGCAACAGGCAAGAGCCTGAGCCCAGGCATCTTGAAAGTCACTAACCTGGGTAGGACACTGGGCTACCCCCAAGCCCTGGCGTGTGCAGAACTTCCTTCAAGGGAGGCTTCCATCATCCAAGGCGTGTTGGGCCTAGGGTACTCCAGTGTCTCTACCTCTGTCACTTGCAGAAAAAGTCATTCCCCACGATTCAAGTGTGGATTCTTAGATAACTTAGTTGATAGCATCAAGGATTCTTGACTTCCTTAGGTTGTTAGTTTGATTTTCGTCGAAGGAACTCCCTGCTGCTTTGCACATCCTCAGTAGCACAGGTGAAAGCCAGGGAAGCCCTACATGTGTGTGGTCAACCTATGAGTGGGCTGGTGCCAGGAAACAAACCTCTCCTTCTTCCTGTAGCCACACACACATAGTTTTCGGTTGCTGTTCCACCTTACCCACAGACCCAACCAGCCAGCCCCAGCATCCTCTTCAAGTTTATTCACCCACAGCTCAGCTCCAGAGAGCTGGCTGTCACCACTACCACTTTGCTTACCATGGACAGATCCCTGCCCAACAGGTGAGCAAGAGGAGCCCTGAACAGGGAGTCTTGAAGGCCCCCAAGCATATAGGCCATTACATGAGTCAGGAACAATCATGGCATCTTTCTTGTACACGTTTCAATCTGTTATTCTCTGTATCTATCAGCACCCTTCTCACTCTTTTTCTGTTTTTGTTTTATTCTGAATCTGAGTCTGAAGCCACATTTAACCTGAAGAGACAGGATATGCTCAACCGGCCTGCTTAGCACAGTGTTTGTACAACATTGCCCTTTGAGCCTTTTAAGAAATTGGAAATTTTCTATTGCACTTTGGTTCACATTTGTAGGATGAAAATGTAGCTGTCTTGTAACTGTAGTTTGAGGGACGATTATATCTACTTAAGACAAAAGCAAATTACTTCGGGAATCTCAAACTACTGTTGTCTGAAAACTTGAAATTACAAAACTCACATTTTTTTTTAACAATCATGGGCCAAATGCATTCAGATTTCACACATTAAAAAACTATGCTGTATGCCTTGGCTGATGTGGCTCAGTGGTAAGAGTGTTGGCCTACACACTGAAGGGTTGAGGATTTGATTCCCAGTCAAGAGCATGTACTTGGGTTGCAGGTTCACTTCCTGGCCCTGTTGGGGCACGTGTGGGAAGCAACCAACCCATGAGTCTCTCTTCTCTCTCTCTCTCTCTCTCTCTCTCTCTCTCTCTCTTTCTTTCTCTCTCTTTCTCTCTCCTCCTTCTCCTCCCCCTCCCTCCCTCCCTTCCACTCTCTCTAAAAATCAATGGAAAGAATATCTTAGGTGAGGATTAAAATAACAACAACCCTGCAGCTTTCAATGGCTCAAAAAGTCAATAACATATCAATACTACTTCTACATAGTCAAAAATCAGAAGGAATTGCATGGTTTGCCACATAATTTCAGTTATATAAGGTCATTGAGTATCCATACATAATTCAAGTATGATATCATATCAAAAAGTACCCCTTTTTAATCCTCGTGCACTTTTGGTGGGAATTCAGAATGGTGCAACCACTATGGACAACAGTATGAAGGTTTCTTAAAAAAAATTAAAAATGTAACTGCCTTATGACCCAGTGATTCCATTTCTGTAAATATATATGAAGATTCCCAAAACACTAACTTGAAAGAATATATGCATCCCTGTGTTCATTGCAGCACTATTTACAATAGCCAAGCATGGAAGCAACCCAAATGCCCATCAATAGACAAGTAGATAGAAAAGCGGTGGTATGTATATACAATGAAATATTACTCAGCTGCAAAAAAGAACAAAATCTTACCATTTGCAAAAGCATGGATGAACCTAGAAGGTGTTATGCGAAGTGAAATAAGTCAGTCAGAGAAAGACAGATACCATGAGATTTCCCTTAAATGTAGAATCTAAAGGACAATATAAATGAACAGACAAAATAGACTGATAGACTGACAGAGAACACAGATGGTTGCTAGAGGGAAGGGAGGTTGGGGGACTGGGTGGAAAAGGTGAAGGGATTGAGAAGTGCAGATTGGTAGTGGCAAAATTGTCATAAAGATGTAAAGTACAGAATAGAAAATATAGTCAATAATCTATACTAATAAAAGGGTAATATGCTAATTAGACCAGGCATCTTCCAAATGTCTTTCCAGACAAAGCCATAGTGGCAGGGGCGAGGCAGAGGCGATTAGGGGCAATTAGGCTGGCAGGGGAGAGCAAGTAGGGGATGATCAGATTGGCAGCAGGGAGCAGTTAGGGGGTGATCAGGCTGGCAGGCAGAGGCAGTTAGTGGTGATCAGGCTATCAGGGTAGCAGTTAGGGGGCGATTAGGCCGGCAGGCAGAGGTGGTTAGGGGCGATCAGACTGGCAGGCAGAGGCGGTTAGGGATGATCAGGCCAGCAGGAAGGTGAGCAGTTAGGAGCCAGTGGTCCCAGATTGTGAGAGGTATGTCCAACTGCTGGTTTGGGATTAGGCCTAATTGGCAGTCGGACATCCCCTGAGGGGTTCAGGATTGCAGAGGGTACAGGACAGGCTGAGGGACCTCCCACCCCATGCATTAATTTCGTGCACTAGGCCTCTAGTCTACAATAATAAAAGCGTAATATGCTAATTAGACCTGATATCCTTCCGGACAACCTTCCAGATGAAGCCAGGGCTGCAGCCATGGGATCGAGGAAGCCACTGTGGCTGCGAGGGATCCAGGCAGCAACAGTGGCTGCGAAGGCCTACTCTTACACAAATTTCACGCATCAGGCCTCTATGCCGGAAGCCAATTTCAGCATGTCATAATTGCAAAAGTTTCATCAAAAGGTTGATGGAACTTGGGGACTCAACAAGGGCTGAGTCACATATATTGTCACCTGTTGGGAATGGCTGAGGGCATTTCCCCAAACCTGAAAAGGATGCATTAAATGATTGCTTGCTGCCAGGCAGCTCAGGGCATCTTAATCTACATGCTATTGCCTTCTACTGGCCAAACACCTGAACAGCCGTAGGCAAATTCTTCCAATCTGACAATGGATTGTGTACATGAAACCCTACCCTTTGATGTGTATATCTCCACCTTGCCTTAGGACAATTTGTGTTAATAAAAAGCAAGGAGTCCTGAGACAAGGAGAACTTAGTTCCTTTAGCTATGTCTTATCCAACTCCCTATAATGCCTTTCAAAATTATGTTTTGTTTCTGGACTCTTATTTAATTTATGCACAGTGACTTCTCCAGATGTCTGAGCCCTTCTAGATGCCAGATTAGAACCACCGGCGTTAATTGGCACCCGAACAGGGACAAATTTGGAGATGAAGTATTCACCTGAGTGGATAAAACAGCACCAGTGATGGTGGTAAGATTAACTGTGTGTAAAGCCCATGTCAGCTTTGGAAGCCCACGGATCTGTAAGTGCGTGGGTGATACTTTTTGTTTAAGTCAGATTATAATGGGGAAGAATTTGACTAAAAGGCAAAATTATAAAGAAATTGGAATATTAAAAGGTACTTTTTAAAATCAGGCTGAAAAAAGAGTGCAGTGTCATTTTTAATGTGGTTTCTTGTTCAAATCATAAAATACCTGATTTGTTTTGAGGATCGAAAATCTATAATTTCTAAAAGGCTGCCCGATCCTCAGTTTCTGATCTCAAAAGCAGCTGGAGAGGGCAGAGCTATCAGCTCTCCTGCAAAAAGACTACCTAATGCTTTGTTTAAGAACTATAGAAGAACGCATTGAGAAAAGCAAAATTTGGCAAGTCAACTTAAGTCTAGTCATTACTTTGAAAAGCGAAATAGGAAAAAAATTTAAAATCTGTCTTTTTCTATTAAACATGCCTTTAATTGGGAAAAGAAACATTGCTGAAATCTCCCCCAAAGCAAGCAGGATGTGGGGGAATGGAGACACGTGGCAATCCAATATGGACGCCCACTCCCTGAGAAAGCTATTTTAAAAAGTCTCATTCTCGCCATGAATAGTTTTAAAAAATTTAGAACTGTGTCTGTAATTTCTGTACTCATAAAGAGAGAAGATAGCTTAAGATAAAATGCGTGCACAGTCCGATTTCGGATTTTAAAAAGTTTTGAGCTAAACTCAACTCTCTTTATGGATGGTGTAGAAAAACCAAGACTTCTTTTTTCCTCAGAAAGATGGCAGAAAGGAACTAAAAAGAAAGATGCAGGCTGGTTCTAGCAACAAGATTGGTATTTCTATAATAAAAGGTAATGTTCCAATTATCTATAGGAACGTATGCACAGGTGACCCAGAGCGCCTCATTTGGATATACCAATACAGACTTCAAAGGGTTCTTACTATCAATTAATATGGCCAAGCTTAACCAAAAACTAAGAAGAGAGAGACACAGGAGATAAACAATGCAAGAAATCACACAGATTTATTTACCAGAGAGCTGATGGGTTTCAGTCCTTGGCAGGCCACCTGGAGACACTTGCTGACAGAGACACACGGAGGTCGTCAAAATACGCTGCGGCAAGGAGCTCGGTTTCTTGACTCGAAGAGAGGCCTCTTAACAGTCTGGGCTCAAAGGCAGAGCAGGAATGGCAGTTTGGCAGTTTGGCAGTTTCCAGGGGGGAGGAGAGCATCTTGTCTGTGGAGGTCAGACAGTCGTCTAACTGCTGCTGTGAGAGTCCTTCTTTTATACCCCATGGGTGGGCTTCTTCAGTGTCTCATATCAGTGTGCTCCGGTGGCCTTCTGGGCTTATCAGGATATACACGCAGGGGGTTACAAGGTACTTATCAGGAATGCACATGCAGGGAGTTGTTTGTCAGGAGTTACAAGTTATTTGTCAGGAGTTAACATGCAGGGCGTTACAAGTTACTTATCAGGGTCACACACACACACACACACACACACACACACACACACACAAATTAAGTTCCTCTTCTAAGTAAAGTTTAAAATTCACTCTGATAAGAAAATGAAATTTGATTATACTATCTTATACTAACTAAACTTATTACTATAACAGGTAATTTATTTAAATAATAATAAGGAACCACACTAAAAAGTTAACATTAAAGCCGCCAAGAAAATCAGTAAACTATCTCTGTTACAAAATTTGCCAAAGAAAATGCCTTAAAATAATGATAATTAGCTCTAGAATCTGAAAATTGTTGAAACATAGATAAATAATATATTAATTATAAAAATCTAAGTAGCCCAGGTAAACACTGACTATGCCCTTTGTTAATTAAGAAGGCTGGCTTTTCCCAAGACAATCTCTAAGAAAAGAATGTGGCCACCAATTTACATCAAAATAGACCAAACTAGGCCAGACCTGTTTTGCTAGCCTCAAACGTGGTTTTCCAGAGCTGCTGGCAACTTAAAACGTTAAAGTTTGCTAAATTAAATAAAAAACTTATTCAATAAGCTAGGTATTTTGAAATGACAAAATATTAAAATATTAATCTGAGTATGCCTCATATGAAATCTAGAAGACAAAATTAAAGTTATTAATTGATTATGTCTTGTATTTTTGAAATTTATTCTTAAAAATATAAAGGTGTTACTAATCAAGAAATGCTAAATATTTAACTGCTAGCTAAAATTTAAGTCTTCTAAAAGAGTTTAAGATTCAAATTAAATTGGGAGAAATTATGTAATTGTGGTAACAAAATGCATAAAATATAGAAATTTACTTTTAAGAAAATTATTCTTGTATTTTATCTAAAGAAATGAATAGTTTAAAATATATTAATATGCCAAGTGTGGTAAAATTTCAATCTAAAGCATAATATTTTATTGGTATAATTAAAAAAGAAGGATTGATTCTGTGATCCCAACCGAATTTTTTAATACAAAAAACAGTTTAAATTTAATTAATATCTTTTAAAATAATTATAAAAAGTATATAATCTTTAAATCATATATATATATATATATATATATATATATATACACATATACACATATATACATATATATTTGGTGGTCTTTCCAAGTTAAATTTCAAGGCTTTAACCCAGGGATAACTTTGGAGCATTTCATGGGCCTGAAATGTTTTCAAAGGTTTGTTCTCTCCTAAAAAAATTTTTTTAATGAAGTAGTTTTAATATACTTGAAATCACATGGAAAGCTTTATGCAAATAAAAATTAATAACTGTTATGCCCAGATTTCAAGATCCCCAAAAAACCACGTCAGGGAGCCAGTCCGATGCAAAAGCAGAGGGTCTCTTATACAAGCTCGCTTGGTCCCCCCCTTGCCTCCATTACTGGGTGCAAGAGAGAGCCCCGAATCCCAAGAGAACAAAGAATTTATAGGGCTTGGGGTGGGGGTGGGGGTGGGGGTTTGGGCAGGGTGCAGCTAGGGTCTGGTTACACAAAGACAGGGGGGGTGGGCAGCATACTTTTGGCCTTGGGCTAGTTTCCCCCGCTTTCCCATTGGCCGAGATAAGGGCAGGCTGAGTAACTGATACACCCTGCGGCTTTTTCTGGGAAAGAGGGGTTAAGGACACAGCCATCAGTCCTGCTCTGTCCTTTCAATAACTATATTTTACTTATATACATATACTTTAAATGTTATGAAGGTTTTAGCCCCTAAGGAGGGCAAAATAAAGTAGCTTAAATATTTCTTAAAATTCAACAGCAGAATTTTAAGATGGAATTTTAATAACAAAAGCCTCTAGCAGCCTGCATTTTAATTAGGCTGGAGTTGGGCAGCATTTGTGCCTTGTGAATCAGACGTATAAGTTTACTAAATTTGCTTTGCATTGCTTTTTTAATAATAATGCCTTCTTTAATTACTTAATAAACTAGCTGTTTAAAATGTAATCAAGGTCTCATATAAATTAAGTTATATGAGAAGCTAATATTTTTATAAACAATTGAATCCTAGTAAAGTCTAAGAAAATTACTGAGACTTCCCATGATCCCTCTGTATATGCAAATAAGCCAAAGAGGATACTCTTTAAAAGTAAATTCTAAGCTTAATAAAAAGGAGAAATTTTAAAATTTTATAATCTCTTCTGCTAGTATATACAGGTAAATTAAAGATTGTTGTTAAAGTACTAAATCTGACAATAATAGTAGCCAACATAATCTAAAGAGAGTCATTGAAATATAGCTATTCGACCGCATGACCCAGTATCCAGGCAGCATCCCTGTAGGTTGCTTGGTGTAAAAAAGAAAGGCAAAGATTTTTTCTTTTTAATTAAAAGTACAAGAAAAGTAAATAATTTGTGTTTTTGCCTCCCTGACAAAGCCTATGTAAAGTTACTCAAAGACTAGTAGCAGAAATTTAATTAATGTCATTTATTGTCCATAGCCAAGGACAAGAAGTTAAAAAAATAAACCTTATTTCAGATTGATTTAAATTGGCTAATTGAAATAAATAAAGATACATAAAAACTTAATTGTACTGGCCAGGAAACTGTTCCTAAAGCATTAACTACAGTTTTTACTGATGGTTCATCTCATAGTAAAAACTTGCTTAACATGCAATAAATCCAGAGCAGTCATATTTCTATACAGAAAATTAAAATTAATTTTAATTTTAATTTTAATTTTAATTTTAATTAATCTTGTAATCTGCATTACAAGATTTCCAAAAGCCTCCTAATAATATTTAAATAATAAAAGGGGGGATAGTGGAATAATGCCCTTTAAGTAAAAGCCTTAATTGCTTTAAATTTTTTACTTTGAAAATTATTTTTCATTTGTAATGCTGATGGCAAGACACCCATAAAAACACACATGGTGTCAGAATAAGCCAAAGGAAAATTGTTTGGGCAAAAATGAAAGGATCCCAAGTATAATTTATAAAAAGATTCCTTTATTAACCTTTGGTCAAGAATATGTTTGTATATTTCCAGAAAACTCCTCCAAGCCCATATGGATTCCTGCAACAACGAATCCAGAGAGGAACTGACCAGATGGCTCCAGCCACAGAAATAGCAGTGGCTCCCAAGACAAGAGGAGAAACAGTCCAGAAATAAAGATGGTGAAGATGCCTTGCCATCCTAGTAGTCAGCAGCTGTCCATCACTGCAGGTTTCCCATGACCAAACCAGAGAAGGTCAGACCTGTATTGCCAGCGTTTGTCCACCAACCAGAACTGAAATATCATTGCTGGCATGTACACATAAGAAACTGTTGGACATTGAAATTGAACTCAAAGAACTGTTGGCCCAGAAAGAAACTTATTGCAGGCTGATTCCTTTAATGGCCAACAGCAATTTAAAGGGACATGATAGAATTCTATCCTTTCCATTGAATTGAAAAACCTTAAAAAATACATTTTTGTTAAATTTAAAAAATCAAAAAGGGTGAGATGCCTGAAGCCAATTCCAGCATGTCATAATTGCAAGAGTTTCATCAAAAGATTGATGGAACTTGGGACTCAACAAGGGCTGAGTCACATATGTTGTCACCTGTTGGGAATGGTGATGTGTATATCTCCACCTTGTCTTAGGACAATTTGTGTTAATAAAAAGCAAGGGGTCCTGAGAAAAGAAGAACTTAGTTCCTTTAGCTAAGTCTTCTCTGACTCCCTATAATGCCTTTCAAAATTATGTTTCGTTTCTGGACTCTTATTTAATTTATGCACAGCATCTTCTCCAGATTTCTGAACCCTTCTAGATGCCGGATCAGAACCACCGGCGTTACCTCTAGTATTATATTTACTCTGTATGGTGCCAGTTGGGTAATGGAAATATCAGGGAAATGCTTTGTAAAGTTTATGATTGTCTAAACTTTACTATGCTGTACACCTGAAACTATTGCTATTGAAGAAGTACAAAACAGACCGCCCCAACATGTGCCACTTTGAATTATTTTGAGCAGATGGCAATCAAAACCCTGCAAGTTCATGGGAAATGTGTATCATTTTCTTAATCTAAATTAGACGCCTTGCGCATAATAACAGTTTTCACAAGAAAGAACTTTTTATGACCCACCTAGGGTCATAAAGTTCTAATTACTGAACAGCTGCTGTACTTATCATCCTTCAGAGAATGACCTTCCTGCTCTCTGAAATCCCAAGGTGCTAAGCTTATCCCATCCTTTCCTCAGAATGCCAAACATACCTCATTTTCTCTCTCTCTCTCTCTCTCTCTCTCTCTCTCTCTCTCTCTCTCTCTCTAGTAGGTAGGGTCTCTGAGTCTCTTATATTTATGGGGTTCTCATACCTATGTAATTAAAGTTGGTTACTTTCTCTTGTTAATCTGTTTCATGTCAATTTGATTATTAGACCACCTGAAAGAACCTTTGAAGGGTAGAGACAATTTCTTCCTCCCCAACACCATGGGAGTGGCAACTTTCAGGAAGAACCTATTGCCATGTGGCCATGAAGAGTTTCCTGCCATAAATATCACCGTCTGAGGAGACCAGTGGAAATGAACCAAAGATAGAACCTTAGGCCTTCTGTGGATTCACCACCAGATGAAGCTCAACTTCTTGGCAATCTAACTTTGGCTCTATGGGAGAATAGAGAGACTTAATCAGTGAAGGAAAGATCTCTTTGGTATGGCTTGCCATGCCTTTGTGGGTGGGTGAGCCACCTTAAAGTAGCAAGCACACACCAGGTCAGATCTTACACTTTTGTAAAGGACCTGGAGCCAGGGTAAGAGTCCTATTCGAACACCAGTTGCCTCTGCCTTTCTCTATTTGTTTCTGTTGCCTCTCCAGGAAGCCACAGAACCTTGGGCTACTTCAGGGAGCTGTGGCCTCTGTCCAAGGAATGTATCTTGAAAAGTTGTCATCTT